GGAAAATGTGAGCAGCCCCTACAAAATAAAAAACAAAAAGCGTTAAAGGTAAACCGAATAAAATAAAGAAAAAGAAGAAGAAAAGCAGAAAGGACAAATAAAGAAAAGTGGTATAAATTATTAAGTAGGGGGAGCAAACAAACAGTTGTGGGTTTTATGGAACTGTGTTGGTTTGCTTAACGCACTCATATTTCAACCAGGAGAGAGAGGGAGAGAGAAACAGAGTGAGGGAGCTGAGGCTTTGAGGCGCTAAGCAATCCTTTATTCATTTCACACCCGCCTTTTTATTACCCCACCTCCCCACCCCCATGTGACTTTGGAGACTCCATTTTTGCCTTCTTATAAATCCCTTACCACCAAGAATGTGACCAGATTAGAACACTGACACACAACTCACTCATTTCACCATTTTAATTATACTTCCTTTTCAAGATTTGGGTTTTGTACCTAGACTAAATCTTGGAAATGGGCTTCATTCGTATCTGGCTTCTGTCCTGAGATTTTTGTGAACAGAGAGTGGAAAGACTCTGCAAATGACGCGCTTGCTGGTTGCCACCTCTCTTTGCTTCTTCTTCTTCTTTCTGGTTTTGGGTTCTGGGAGCTGCGTTTCAGCTCTAACTCGAAATGGACTCCGACCCACCAGAGATACTCTCAAATTTAGTCTAGGTACGTTTTTCTTAATTCGATTGTTTAAATGGGTTTTATCTTGTATGCTTCTTTGGTTGCTGAGGAGGAGAAGAAATGGAAAATGAGATTTTTGGAGTCATTGTTGTTTTTCGGTTTCAAGACAACGTAACAATACATAACCTTTATCCCAATTCATTGCCAGTTTTTCATTTCATCTTTATTCTTATTTTCATGAAAGATCGAATCTTTTTTCCACTATTACTCAGCAAACAAACAAGCCAAATGCTTCTGTTCCAAACCAATAACATTTCTTTTACTTTCAAAATTACTTTGAGAGTTTTCAAGTCTGAATGGCTCAGCAGCTGAAATTTTGCAGCTTTCTAACCTTATAACATTTCTTCTTGTTGTTTTTTCAGTGGATGAAAATCTAGGGTCGTGGAGAAATGGAATCTCAGAAGATACTGCACAATCCCCAGGGCCTGCAAGCGATGCACCTCAAGGCACGCTTGTTTTGGCGGCTAAAAGGACCAACAGGCCAGATATTCTTAGCCGGTTTAAGCGTTATCGCGGAGGCTGGGACATTGCTAATCGGCACTACTGGGCGGTAAGTCTTGGTTCCTTCTTGTCATTTAATTCGTTGATTGTGATTTATGAAATGTGTGCATACTTGCAATCAATCTAGCTCGAGTATTGGTTTAGGCTGTAGAATTTGATTGTTATAGCATAATTCGTGGCCCTTTTGTTAACTTATTGGATATGATATCATATAAAAATATGATGCTTGTTTGTTTGTGATGAAAAGTGTGAAGATTTTAAATGATCAAGAAATAGTGAGATCTAACTTTCATTGGCTGAAATTATTATTATTATTTTTTTCTATGGTGAGAAACATAATTTTATTTAATTAATTAATATCTAACTGGAGGCAGACCACTAGAATGCAATTTTGTTATGTGATGATACATCTAAATTTCCAATAAAGCTTAATTTTTTCTCTGTACCTACTCGTTCTGTTCTGCCTCTTTGAACATCTGTTAGATAAATATTTAGTAATAATAATAATAGGAATTGTGATGCTCATATTATTACTTGTACATTTAGGTTTCTCATGTATTCCTTAGTAATATGATCTCTTTTCTGCAGTCGGTTGGATTTACAGGTGCCGCTGGTTTCATTATTTCTGTCCTATGGTTTATTGCTTTTGGCATGGTTCTTGTTGTTCATCATTGCTGTGGATGGAGAATAAACATTAAAGAGGAAGAATCACACCGCTCACAGAGGATATGCCTGATTCTGCTACTAGTCTTCACATGTGCTGCTGCGTAATGCTCTGAACTTCATATGAATATATATGGATATTGTTCTAAACTAACTAATATTATTAGCTTTGGTGTTGAATTTATGTTTCTTTTGCCCATTTTCCTGCCCTTCTTCTCACATACAATTATTTCGGTTCATATTTGGAGTTGCACACCCAAAAAAAAAATCGTTCGGGAAATTCATCTTTTTGGCTTAAGATTTTATATAGTAACATTCTTTTTTCTTTCCTTTTGGTGTGGGGAAATTTTCAACATATACTTAGTAAGGTCCACAAGTGATGGTATTGGCCATCTGTTGTGCTAGGAAGGCAGTTTTGTCACCTTATGCATCTCTCAGGTGTCCCTTTTCTAACATGATATGCTGTATCTTCTCAATCACACAGGATTGGATGTATTCTTCTTTCTGTTGGGCAAGATGAATTTCATGACGAAGCAATGCGTACTCTAAATTATGTTGTAAACCAGTCTGACTACACTGTACAGACTCTGAGAAATGTCACAGAGTATCTGTCCCTTGCAAAGGCTATTAGTGTGGCCCAGATTTTCTTACCTTCTGATGTCATGGATGGTATTGACAAGCTGAATCTAGATCTGAACACTGCAGCAAATACACTGACAGAGAAGACAAGTGAAAATTCTGTTAAAGTAAAAAGAGTCTTCAGTGCTGTGTATGTCTTCTTAAACTTCCGTAGTACTATCTAATCAAGGGGTTATACTGAAACCCCATGTTTTTAATGTACTAACGAGTTAAATGTTGCAGGCGTTCAGCTTTAATCACCGTGGCAGCAGTGATGCTTCTCCTAGCTGTGATTGGTCTTTGTATGTATCACCCTAAACAACTTGATGAATGAAATCTATTATTTGGTCTTCTTGTATTTTGCACTTTTTGTCTCTTTGTAACTCATTAATGCATCTTGTTGCAGTTCTGTCCATCCTTGGGCACCAACATGCGATCCACATGTAAGTTGTCCTTGTATTTGTCAATTTTTTTAAATTTGTATTAACTCTTCCACTCTTCTCATTCTGGAGGGGTTCCATATCTCCGTCTGACAAAGCCGTCATATTTTCCAGATTTATTGTTAGTGGATGGTTACTTGTAGCAATTACATTCATTCTTTCTGGAGTCTTTGTGATCCTTAACAAGTAAGAATATGTTGTCTTCGATAGAAATATTTATATTCATGTTCTTTTTACTTGATTGTCTGGTGGATCAGAAACTCAACAAAGTACTATGGTGATTGTGATTGTATTATGCCTCCTGATCCAGCAGGGATTATGCTAATGCCCTCACCTGAAATATATTTCGTTTTTATCTTTTGTGTTTCAGTACTGTGTCTGACACCTGCGTGGCCATGGAAGAGTGGGTAGAACATCCTCATGCTGAAACAGCACTTAGCAACATCCTTCCATGTGTTGACCAGAGAACCACAAATAAGACACTTAGCCAGAGTAAACAAGTTATCAACGACATTGTAAATGTTGTCAACCAGTTCATCTATACATATGCCAATACGTATCCGTCCCATGCCAATCCTTATTATTACAATCAGTCCGGGCCTCTGATGCCACCTCTCTGTTACCCATATGATTCTCAGTTGAGAGATAGTCAGTGTGGGGATCAAGAGGTGTCTATTTCAAATGCGTCTTTGGTAAGAATCATTGACTTTGACTATTTTAGTAATTTGGATAATTTGGTGTCTTTATATATGTTGCTGGAAGCTGCTTGATTTGCGTAACATGCATTGAGGGGATGAAAATACAACATCCTGAAATTACGAGATAAGGCAGTATGTATGATGGCTTGCTTAAACAAATATTTGGTTCGTTGGAATTCTTCAGGTTTGGCAGAACTATACATGTGAAGTCTCGGTATCTGGGATGTGCACCACAGTTGGAAGGATAAGCCCAGACATCTACACTCAGCTGGTTGCAGCAGTTAATGAGAGCTATGCACTTCAGCACTATACTCCACCCTTATTGAGCCTCCAGGATTGTAATTTTGTTCGAGACACATTTCGAACAATCACGTCAAGTTATTGCCCTCCATTGGACCATTATCTGAAAATTGTGAATGCAGGGTTGGCCCTGATATCAGTTGGAGTCTTGCTCTGTCTTGTTCTCTGGGTACTCTATGCAAACCGCCCCGGAAGAAGGGAGCTAGTGTTTGTGAAACTATCCTTACCGATAGGCAGGAGAAAAAAGAGCAGTTCCAACAATAATACCAACAATAGCAGCAGCATTGATGTATCGTCATCAAATGAAGTCTAGGTCTTAAGTGTAGAAAACAGTTATACAACTAGGATTTACTATTGTCATCTTTTAGAGTGAATACTAAAAAAGAAAAATCGAGTGGGGCGAAGTTCCATTCCGAGTTGGGGGCTAATACCCCGTTCTTGTACTGCATCGAGTTTCTTATGTATAGTTAAAGGAATCTAAATATTGTTGATGTTTGTAATGCCTTTGGTTCTGAGAAGTATTTTGAGGAAGTATTTTGATCCAGTTTAGTGCTTGAAACCAATGCTGCTCACGTCCCTTGATTATTATGCAGTGATCAAAGAAGACGATCATTATGCTTTAATTATGGCTAAAATTGATCCCTTCACGCATCACTTATGCTGAAATGGTGCCTGCTTGGAGGAGGCAATGTCTGGATTAGAAGTTTATGTTTGCGGTGTTTGGTTAATGCCTGAAACATATCTGTCAAGATGTTATGCAAAATTAATGAAGCTCTGAGAAAGAAATACTGTCTGAAGTACTTTTGGGTCCATAAACAGTTGAAATCATGAACATCTTGCATCACAAAGATGACTTTTTGGCCCAAAAGAAATGACGCAAAATGATGCTTTAGGACTTCACTTGGCTTCCAGATTACAGAAAGTCATTCCATTTAGTAAAAGATACAACAAAGACCCGTCTGATCCAAGCAACCTAGGGCTTATCCAGTGGCGTGAGCAGAGCAGACAACTAATGCGTCCAAGATTCAAATTACACAAAGCTTTAATTTTTAAATCCAGAACAAGCACACTACAGAACAAGTACTTTTCTTCTTTGTAAAATTTTGAAGGCTTTAATCTTCACTGAATGCCTATCTCTACATTTCTGAATCACAATCAGATATACAGGAAAAGAGACGGCCTATCCACAAAATCAAACTTCAAAAAGAACCATCTTTCCATCTTATTACAAGAAAAGCTATTGACAAAAGAAAATTCTTCAGAAAACAGACACTTGTTTGTAAGAAACAACACTTCCTGAAGATCTTCATCTTCACCAGAGCAAATTATCAAAGTCTCTTAAAACTCAGTATTATCAAAAGGCACTTCATCGTTGGTTCCACTCTCAGGTGAAGACTCATCTGCAACTTCTGGCGTCTCTGGCATTACAAGACTCTCACGGAGACCATGAACAACCAAGGACTCGCTGTAGTACATGTTCGCAAAGAAAACCGGAACTCCATTAAGCAACAACACGTCACCAGACCTGGAGATGGTGATAGTAAACCCCTCCATATACGTCGGCAAAACAGTCCCGTCGTTGAAACGCACCAAATCGCTCCACAAAAGCCGGCAGGGAACGACATGTCGGAGAAAGATGGAAGGGTATTGCAGAGGGTTCTCAATTGCTTGGTCAAGAGGAGCAAAGACAGTCATCGAATTCGGGTTCTTGAACCCCACAAGCTGTAAATCAAGAAACGAGGCCATGACATTGTACCCATTTGACCTCAGAACCGCACTCGATCCTTCAAACCAAGAAGCACCCGGAAACCCAATTGTGGTTGTAACGTTCGCTGACGATGACGATGTCGAAGACCCACATACCGGATCTGGAACGGTGCTCCGAATTGGGATGGGAACCTGAAAATTGGCGTCGAAAAATTTATCAACCCCGAAAATGATCAAAAACCCATCATCGTAAAGGGGCCCTGCGGATGTAATCTTGACGTTGTTGAGTGAAATTGGGGCGCCGGAGGAGGGTGTGGTGACGATGAGAGAGTGCCCAGATAGCAAAGTTGGGATCTTGGTGCCGGCGGGGAGGGCTTTGAGGGTCTGGAGGGGCAAAGGGAGAGGGCAGAAGTGGATTTGGAGCAGAGAGAGGGAGGGCTGACCCGATCGGGTGAAGGCGGTGTCTGGCGGAGCGAAGATGGTGAGAGAAGGGGACTGTGGGAGGAGGGACTGCGAGACGAGCTCGAGAGTCAGAGCCATAGAGACGAAGCCTGAATCCGAGAGGATTTCGGCGGCGTCGAGGACGGCTTGGTTGGGGAGGGAAGAGGAGAGAGAGAGGAGTGAGAGGAGGATGAGGGAGACGAGCAGCAGTGCGGCCATTGATAGATGGTATGGAGAGCTTCAAGAATCAAAGGAGGTCTTTTTCTTTGAGTGAGTGAGTGATTCTGTTGGTTGCAGAGTGCGAGTGAGAGATTGAAAGTGGCACTGTATGTAAATTTAGAGAGGGCTGGTTTTCGTTTTAGCGGGAAATAGTAGACAGGTGGCGGTACGTGGTTTGTCGATGTTCAGGCGTTCGTTACAACGAGTCGGTTAGGCGGTTGGATTTGAAACGACGAGAAGGACCGTCGTTTGTAGAAATAGAATTACAGTTTTACACACTCGTTTTCATCTAGTTAATTCTGGAAGATAATTTAACATCCATCCCAAGATAAAATCCAAGTAATTAAATTGAAAAGCTTACATGGCTTCCATGATCACCAATTAAAATATAAGAAAGTGAAAAATCAGCTCACCCACTCAACTCCATTATAGAAGAACATGCACCAATTGCATATTAGACGTACGTCAATTTCCTACAAAAATAAATTAAGAACTAATTACTTCCACTAGTCAAAATCAATCCACATAATCATGCTAATTTTATAAGCATGCTCGTGTAGTCGTAGGTCCTGCAAATCCTAAACATGTTTGTTGATCAACCACACCTTACCTGCTTAAACTATACCTAGAAAAAAATAAAAGTATGACGTAATATTAGAGTATTAGTCTTAAGTTTGTATTAATTTTGGTTTAGGTCACGAAAAAGAGAAAGAAAGATTTGATTTGGTGACGCAACAGTTCAGGACTAACATGTGGGTGCCCCACATCCAACTTATGGACAAAACCCATTTGTTAAATTAGCGATCAATAATCAACGTAAAGTTGGGATAAAGCATCTAGCTAGTATGCATGAACATGGGCTCGTTTGGAAGTGATTTTTGATAGACTATAATCGTTTATAGGAAGAAGTATTTTCTACATGGTTCTTTATATAATCATTTTTAGTAATTGTATGTGATTTTGGAGAGAAACACAAATAACTTAAAGTAATTATTTAGAGAAATGATTCTCCACAAAAGTGATTATTGACCTCTCTAAAATCACTTACAAACTTTTATACATGCTAATCACTATTGAGGTTGCATGTTTAGAGTTTCTCCTACCTCCTATCTCCTACCTCCTACCTCCTACCTCCGTGCATCATGCATGGAAAATGGAAAGATAATGAGAACCATATTAGTTATTTTAAAAAATGGGATCATTTCATACTTAATCTGATCAATCAAAGAGATTATGAAATTAATTTGATCATTGTCAACCAAACACCACAACCAGGAGAACTTACTAGAGCTCCTCTCAAGAGGGTCAACCAAACACGTGGCAAACAAATAGAGCTTCTCAAAGAGCCAACGTTTGCTCAATAAGTCAAATGTCTTCAAATTCGGAGATCAACGTCAAAAGCTAGGAAGGTAGCTAGAAATAATCTTTGACTTTCTTTGCCTACATGATCTCTTCCCCACTCATTTTATTCTGAAAATATATCTTAAATCGGTCACACAAAATTAATATGACTTCATATTTGTTCCATGTTTTCGCATGATTTGGGTTTAATGCAATCTTAATCACGGTTAAGACTTACTTAATTAAGGGTTGAGATGGGTTAATTTCATTAAACTCGTATTGTGGGTTTGTGACCTCATGTCATGAGCAGCAAAAAATAATGATGGTGTGCTGCCTGAGAGAAGAGAAAATGAAATTCCCGTGGAAGTTAAGTTGAGGCAGTCTAAACGAAAATAACGGTAAAGTAAAAGGAATCGTGGAAGTAGCAGAGGCTTGAGCTTCCCGTTAGAATCTCTCTCTCTCTAAGCTTACAATTAATACATATAAATAGAAGAGGCCAACATAAACATATTGCAGAGAGAGAGAGAGAGAGAGAGAGAGAGAGAGATGTGTTTATTTTATGCCACAAACTTAGAACATAAATGTTAATTAATTGTATTCAGATGTAATTGTGGCTTGTGAATTGAGTTCCTACAAACAAGTCACTCAATCCCTTTGCTTAATTCCGAAACAGAGAGATTTCTCAGAGAGAGAAACAGAGCTTTCTTCTCAGATTCAGGAATATAATAACCTCTTCTTGTAAGTCTCTTCTCCATTTCCGTTTCTCATATTCTTCCTTCTTTTCTTGATGCATGCTTTTGCTTTCAACCCCTTTTAGGCCTTGGTTTGAAAAAAGGTATCTTTTTTTTGGCTTCAGAGAGAACAATCTCTTTTCATCTTTCCCTCTCTGTTTCCTTTTCTGGGTACTTACTTCTTCTTGCTTTTCTATGTCATGGCATGTTTCTTTATGAGGTTTTTTTTTTTTTTTTTTTTTCTGTTGCTGTGTGATGATTGAGATTTCTGTAGTTATGTGTTGGCAGTTCCCTTAAAGCCTCTTTAATTTGTTGTTTCATAAAGGAACCTCCACTTTCCTAAGTTATCCATTTTGGTTGAGTTTTTAATATTTCCGTGCAACCTTGTGTGCCTGTGTTGATTTCCATTCCATGCCTTTTCTTCTCAGTTTCCCTTCCTCCATCAAAGGGTAATCCACTTTCCGAAATCGCCCATTTATTTTTCAGGTCTCTAGTTTTTCATGTTTTCAACAATTGAGTGGTGAGAGTTGTTGAATTATATTTCCTATATTCCAATATGTAGCTCAACAATTTGTCATGTTTTAACTACAACAGGCTATTGTTTTCCAGGGGGCTTCCATCAAACACTGTGAACTCCTTTGGTTGTAGAGATTTTGAGGATGGGGGAACACTTTGTATTGTTGGTGGATCGATTAATCACCGAATCCACGTTAGAAGCTGCAATTGAGAGCAGGAACCGGTCGATGCAAGCCACATCCTCAGCAATCGACAAAGCGAAAATTGATGGCTGTTGCCAGAAAATAATAGATGTTCAGGATATATCATCCTTAACTGGGAAGCTAGTAGAATGCAGAATATGCCAGGACGAGGATCAAGATTCAAACATGGAGACACCCTGCTCTTGCTGTGGCAGCTTAAAGGTTAGTTTTCAAATGTTTATGCCTGTTTGTGCATCTAATTTTGGTTCTAGGCTTAATGACTTCTAGAAATTAGAAAGAAAAAATTAATGACTTTGGTGTGTTCCATGGCCTAAAAATGAAAATTTGGTTCTTGATGTTGCAGTATGCGCACCGCAGATGTGTACAGAGGTGGTGCAATGAGAAAGGTGACACAGTGTGTGAGATATGCCACCAGGTGGGTTCATTAATCTGGTTTTTCTAATTCCATTTTCCTTCCAAATTAGTAATTTTATTTGATCATCTGGAAAATAACCTTGCATCAGACTTATTAGCCTTCACTGACATTAAGTTCTTTTAACTTTCAGCAATTCAAACCTGGTTATACAGCTCCTCCTCCACTGTTTCAATTCGGGCGTATACCTATGAACTTCAGGTAAATAAATTATATAATAATCTCTGTGCAGCAGGGCTCATAAGCAGCTTTCTTTCTGATTAAATTTCTGGTTTTACCAAACCTTGTTTCAAAAATCTATAATGACAGGGGAAACTGGGAGATTTCGCAAAGGGACAGCCCGCGCATTATAGCAATGGTTTCGACCGACCGTGCTTTCCTGAATACTAATCCTGACTACGATGAGTATTCAGCTTCTACTGCAAGAAATGTGTTATGCTGTCGTTCACTCGCTTTCATCGTAATCGCCCTCTCTCTCTCTCTCTCTCTCTCCCTCGGAAATTCTACATGTTCTTGTCTTGGTGATCATATCTGAACAAATTTATTAAGGTTGTTCGTTTCTTGTGTGCAGTTCATGATCCTGTTATGGTAAACCTTTCATGGCTTAGTTTCTACTCTATAATTCTTCTCATCAAGACCTTATCAGTAAGGTGAAGCTGCAACATCTGAATCTTGTGTGTTTGTGTGTAGTTGTTGCTTTTACGAACTCTTGGGATTGTGCTGCCAATATATGTAATTGTGAGGGCAGTAACTGCTATTCAGCGCCGCCGAGGCCATCAAGTAAGTATGCATGCTTCCTTAATCCCTTCCTAAATAAGTATGTGTTTAATGATCATATTAATTCTCATCTGATCTTTTAAGTATAATGCTGAGCTAATTCATCTCTCTCACTCTCTGCATATGTTAAATAGGATCTTTCCACTTCCTCTGATGAAGAAACAGAACCTTCAATCCTTCGGCCGGAGCTTGAGCCCCAACCCCATGTCATTCGTGTTCACTAAATTCAACAATGGAAGTTTGGTCTCATCAGCTCTTTGTCGGTATAGTGGAAACTGTTGTAAAATTGTGAGTTTCCATATTGTGGGCGTGTCTCGTCATCATATGTACAGTTAGGGAAGTATCCTACAGTATATATACATACATAGAGAAATTATACTGAGAAAAATACCCAGTCAAGCAACCAGAGCTGACACAAATGTATGCCAAAATGTAGATAATACTACTCAATCCTCAATTAAGTCCCAGACTACGAGCATTCAGTATATAAAAGGTTGATAATTGCATCATTTAATGAGTCGGTATGCCTAAACCGGCTACGATGTGAGTTGCTTACTTCCATTGTAATTTTAAACTACTCTAATGGGGGCATGGGTTTGAATTCGCGAGTAAAAGGCAGCTACATTGCCTTGGCCAACTGATCTAACCCACATAAACTTACTTTACGTCCATTATTTTCAAATGAATCCATTTCTCACTTCCAGAAAAGAGAAAATTAAACTTCAGTATACGTTTCTTTTCTTTCAGCATAAATTGACTGATGAAAAGAGAAATCCATCTTATGTTTTATGCATTCATGGAATTTCTGCTCATAATTTCGCGTACTTTTAATCTTGTTTGTAACACTTCCCTTTGAATGGAGAGAGTATCACTACGATACAATTTAGTACACGTTTGGTGCGCACATTCACAAAGAGCTTTTGCAACAAATCATTGGCACGAAGTAACACTCATATTCAAATGCGTACAATTCATCTTCATCATTTAGAAATTCGAGTACATTAGATATAAAAGGATTTGAAGAGCAATAATGTATAGTCTATCAAGACAATGGTTTCCCCAATCTTTTGACTAGATCCATGCAGAAAACAGATAAAAACAAAGCCGCATAGGATCTAGAACGATCTCTTCCAAAATTTTAAGATTGTATAAATCTGTACAGTCCTCATTATATGTAGAAAGAAGAAAAGCTATCAAATAGAGTACAGATGAGGACCTCGGCAGGCCATCTCATACAAGTCGGTATCTGCTTTCCTACTAAGAGCCTGACTTCCCTCTGCTGCGCACCTTATTGTCTGTGCGCAGGTTTGCCCTTGCAACAAAACTAGCTCCAGCTTCTCCTTGGCCTGAAATTTGGTGGAAGAAAAACAAATAAGAAAATAGAAAAACCTCCAGACAATCTCTCACTCTCCCTTTTTCTTTGATTTTTTTTTTTACCCTTTCTCCCACTGAGTTCTGGTTCTTTTATCCCTTTTTGAAAGAGTTTATCAAATGTTCTTTAAAGAGCGAAGGTGGTGGAAATACTTCCGACTCTTTTGCTGTGAACGCCAGTAGCAAGCAAGCGCTCCGAATGCACAACTAGCAACAGCAACAGCCAATGCAGCCCCCAGAGGCACCACAATCGCATTTGTTGAGGGCACCAAATCTTCAAGAACTCTGTTTGTCCCGTCATTCCCATTAATACCCTTGTCTTTGTAAAGAGAAACAAGCGTTTTCCCATAATATTCTTTCAGAAATTTGAACACCTCATCCTGGTCCCATTCAATTCCATCATTTTTCTGGCTACGAGAGAGGTAACAAGATGGGCAGAACTGCCTAAGAGGCCAAATCATTTTTGGGAATTTGGGATCAGCAGTTCCTAAAGAGGCTTCCTCTTTAATCAATCTCTCATTGACTTTATTGTGAGCACTCCACAGCCAAAGGGCAAAGTCGCGGGACTTGTTGAAAGGAGTAGAAACACTGAAATTTAAGTTAATGAGTTAGATAAAAGAAATTTTAAATTTTAAAAATGCATTATTTCCAGTTGACTTTACCTTGAACACATATCGTAAAAATGTCGGCGACATTCCTCACAGATGAAGAAGTTATGCACAAAATCACATATTGTGGTGAACGCAAAATTGCTCTCTCCATCCTCAATTCTAACTGAAAGTGAATGTAGAAGAACCCATAATCCGCAGCTGCACCCAAAAAATAAAGGAGGGAAAAAGAAAAACAACTCAAATGCATGCCACCAACCGAATTCTGAAATGATGCTTTTGTAATATACATGTTAGTGGAGCGACATTAGTTTAACAAATATTTAATGAATTAACTTTAAAAGGTCATGTACGTTTCCTGGATCATATTCACGGTCTCACAACCTAATAGTCAGATGCACAAACTGACCATAAAAAATTAAAAAATTCTAATATATTTAGAGGCGTACAAAAGAACAACCTAGATATGGTTACTTAACAGCTTTTTGGTAATATTGGTAATGAACCATTACCTAAAGCCCCTGGTATCATTTTTGCTGCCACGGCAAAACATCTGTGAAGAATACCCAAAGAAAGCAAAGACAATAAGTAATCTATTCCATATCCATAAAAATAAGAACAGAATTATGAAAAAAGAAAAAGAAAAAGAGAAAAGGAAACTATGGAGAAGACAGTGTATTATTATTAATTGATCTTTTCCTGTCAAATACAGCGTTTTTATGTACCTACCCAATATCCTCGAGGAACATCTCTACCACAAATCTGAAAATTCCCCAGAGCAGCCTGTACATCTTGGTCTTCCTGTCTGTCAGCTGACCACATATCTAGTGGGCACAAGTCATCAAAATTCACTAGTACCTCTGCACTTCCCTTTCGGCACCTAATACAATTATCTAGAGTGAAATAATGAAACAAAAAATATTACAAAGGTAAAGAGGAATGACAAAATAATTGGACTTTTTTACCTCCTAGAAGGATGATGAGCCACCAAAAGTTGAAGAAATTTCACTAATGAAGCCCGTGTATTTGATTTGATCATCTGGAAGAACATGCATACACAAGAATAGTGAAATCTGTAAATAATAAAGTGGACAAATGACCGAAAAAATAAACAACAAATCCTCACCAGATGGGTGGAAAGAGGGGAAAAAAAGATATACCTTGTGTCCTAAGATGATTTCAAAAGCAGTTGACGTTGCTTCCTCAACGTCATAGACAGCCCGAGCAATCTTTCACAAGTCATGCATTGCAAAAGTTAATATTTTGAATTAAAGAAATCTACTGTAATTGTTAGAACTTAGAAGTAACACAACTTTATAGCAATGCTAACCTGCCCAGGGTCCGACACATTTGATGAAAGATGCTCATTTTCAAATTTCTGATCATCCAAGGCGAATGAGCTGAAACCTTAAGGAGTGTTAGGAACGTGAAGCTCAAATGGACACTACAACTAATGAATTGAAATGCATGGCAAATTCAATGAAGTCGCACTGATTCTAATGAAGTGCTAAACATTGAGGACGATTTCTTTGGATAAAATATGCATTACTAAACAAGAATTTCGGTCAAATTGACAATGGATGTAAATACATCATACCTGCCTGTTTGCTTGTTGATCCAACTAAGCAATCGATCAGCTGTGCGGCCATCATCAATGACACGTATATCACTTTTGGTTTGTGTAGGTTCCCAACGGGCAGATGCAAATTTAGATGGAGGTCCCCAAAAGAGCATAGGATAATGACCCACAGAAAAGTTATCACAGAGTTTGGTATTTATCTGTACTGCCAAACAAGTTAAAAAGGTAGGGTCTAAGGACCAAGCAATGTATCTTGATAATTTAATAACCAAACAGAAAAGAAGTAATATGCAAATTCAAACGAGATGGCAAAATACCAGTCTCAAACATCAGAATAATTACACAAACAGAGACTAGAAAGTTAAATATGAATGAAGCTTTAGGTCATGCTATGGAAGATGAGCTATCTCTTTTAATGGTGTATTCACATTACTAGATGCTCTCTAAAGAATCTATTTATTTCTTTACTTCAACCTGGAATTCTTACAGATCATTCTATGAGCAAATAATTGCAATCCTATCCGCCCCAACCGCCCTACAGAAAGGCAACCCCAGCCTTCACTAAAAACTGCTCAGAAAATAGGCCATCTTTTACAGCAAAAGAAAGTAACTTTAAGAAATCAAGTAACCACACCACATGGGAAGAAGAACGTTGGAAAAGAAAACATAAGAGACACAACACATGAGATCTAAACCTTTGAAGCACAGTCCACCCTTGTCATCAATATGATCCCTGGATGCACAGCATCAGGCCCATTGAAAAGCCTCGCAACCTTTTCATAATGGGGCTGCAAATTGAAGTATAAACAATAAGACAAACAACATCCATCAGAAATTGTTAAACACAAAGGTGGGGTATTTTATAGCATACCTTATAGTTTCTGCAAGCCGGACACCTGTGAGGTCAAATAACAACAAAAGGATTAAACTTCTCATAACAACAGCTATAATAAGCGAGTAAAAAATAAAAATTTAGTGAAAAGAATAAGTGTCTAGTCTCTAATAGATCTAATCTCCAGTAACAGTGAAAAAATGAACAAACCAAAGAGAAAATCGAGCGTGGAAACGAATGGTTTATTGAAAATTCAGAATAGCTGACCAGTGAGCGAAGAATTCGACTACGGCAAAGGAGGCAGGGGTGTCTCTGAGGACTTCATCGAAATTCGTGGCATTCAATTCGACGGCGTAGTCGTGAACATCAGCGTTGTCTGTATTGACGGCACGGAGGATCGAGCGCGATCCCCACGAGGAAGAAGAAGCGGAGAGTGTGAAGGTCAACGAAAAGAGGCTCAGAATCAGAAGCCAAAGTGCACGAGACATGAGAAATTGGATCGACTATTAGCAGCCAAAAATGAAGAAATCAAAATAAAAACCGTTGAGAAAAAAAGAGCAAGGCTTTTGCGAGAGTTTTGAGTTTTCTAGAAGAGATCTGCGAGTGAGAGAGCGAGATTGTGTCTGTGTTAAAAAATTAGCAGAGGAGGAGGAGGAGGAGGTTCAAGGTTTTGTCATGTGCTGTGGTGGGCACTGGAAATGGGTGCGCTTTACGTATTCTTTTCTATAGCTACCACAGCTGCCGGGCTCAGCGAATGCAAGTGCTCGCGAGGGTTCTACTCAATTTTCAAGTTTTTGGATCATCCTGTTTCTTCCATTCCATGTTAGGTTGATTTTTAAGATTTTATTATTATTAAAAAAAAATATTATTTATTTGGTAAATATTATAAAAGAAATTTAAGGTGGCATAAATTAATATACGTTTTTTTAATTTCTTTATCAGCGAAGAGGTTAACCATATTTTGTCTTTTTATTCAGTCAATTCGGCCATTTCATTTCTTTATGGCTTATTTATATACGTGCCCTTTGTGCTTTCAAAATTGTCTCAGATTACCACATGTACTTTAAAACATATCAAAATATCTCATACACTTTTAAAAACTGTCTCACGTTACCCCGTTCCATCAGTATTAAGAGACGTTCCATTATATGGTATGAGCCCCACTTCTTTTAAATCGCTTAACAATAGAGAATAAGGGTTATTCAGTTCAGAAAATGGGAAATTGGATGATAAGAGGAAATTGGGAGAAGAGGGTATGGTTTATGAAAATTTGTCCAGCAGCCTTATGAAAATATGTCTAGGATTTTTGGTGCACTATTCTACTCCATTGAGGTGCTGCCCTCCTCCTCATCACCCCCATTTGAGCTTCTGCACATGAGGGTTTGGCATATTCAAAACCTTAGGGATTCCATTCTGCCAGTGCTTCATTAATGGCGGGTTGAAGGGGGGGACGTGAAGCAGCCCGAGCTCCAAGGTTTCATCAAGCGGCTGCGATGGTATTGTTGCTACGGCCATGCTATGTAGATTTCAAAGTGGATGAGCGATAAACTGAATAGCCCTAGCCCTCTTCTCCCAAATTCCCTTTTTTCTGAAACTGAATAATCCTTACTCTCCATTGTTAAGTGATTTAAAAGAAGTGGGGCTCACACCACGTAACGAAACGTCTCTTAATATTGATGGAACGAGTAATGTGAGACAGTTTTTAAAAGTGTAAGGAGTATTTTGAGACGTTTTAGAGCATATGTGGTAATCTGAGACAACTTTGAAAACATAGCAGACATGTACATAAATAAGCCTTTCTTTATTTGATACAAATGAGGATGAGAGTCAAACTATGGCATTGGCCGAAATAGTAAATACTAGATCAATCTTAATGAAAATTTTGTTCTAATTATATTATCATATTTTACTTGTTACATTTTCTAACAAAGTTGGTGATGGTGTTAGTTCGTCGGAAGCCAACCTATTTGGAAGTTCCTATAAAAATAAAAAACAAAAAACTATTTGGAAGCTTTTGCTCCAATCAAAACAATAGGAACAATCCTTATCAAAAAAGAAAACAATAAGAACAAAAACAAACAAAAAAAGTCCTTGGAGCTTGGAAAGGTTTCATTTGTAACATATAGGCCTTTGGGTCCCAAAAAAGTTTGTAACATGGACGGTCAAGGCCGCTGGCCTAGTTGACGAGATGGCCAAATGGGCCGGGCCTCTTTTGTGGTCAATATCCGAAAGATAAACACGTGGCCCTTGTCCAATAATTGACCCACACGTTGATATTGTGGTAGGCTTGACCTTAAGAGCTCTCTTTCAAATTTGGGAATATTCGAATTTTGGGGCCGTCTGAAACCTCTGGATCCCGTTCTGACCGAACCCTAAATCGGCCAATTTGGGGCCTTCCCCTAATTCTGGTAATTTCCTCTAAGGTGTTTCCGGTTCGTCATTTTGCTCCTCTTAATCTACTCTTTTTGCTTATTTGTGGTATATATAGTTTTATCCAATTCTCAGTAAATGCTTGCTTGTAGTTTCTGTGCTTAAGTATGCTTTTATTTTCTTCTTGTTTTCATTTTCGTATTTGGATGTCTGCTTGTGTGTGCTGTGAATTCTACGTATGTGATTGAAGTGTTTGTTTGTTTGTTTATTTTACAGGATCTCCAATTTCCTGTAATCATAGGGTTGCCTTCGACATCCACTGAGTATGAAGTTCTTGGAATACACCCCGTTGGAACGGTAGATTTACTGTAACACCCGCTTAATTTAGACCCTTTTATTCTCTGCGTTTTTGTGAATATAGTAACGTTTTGGGCTTTACGTTTGCAGATTAAATGATTTCTTTAGTCATTTGAATCTCGGAGGGCGAACCATTAATGGTTGTCTTGAAGCTTACTCTTGTAAGTACAAAATTGTTCGGTTTCTTTTTTGCTTTTTCTGAAAATGTGTTTGTAGATTGTTGCTGAAGGATTTAGTTTCTGTTATGTTTTAATTACTAGGTAAACACACGGGATCGGATAAGAAATTGTCTCTCAGTTTGGAGAATGAGGTAAGATCAGGTTACATATAACAGATATGTTTTATTTTTCCTTTATTATTATTATTATTATTATTATTATCATTCTCTGTACATTTGTTATTTTGTGTTTCCTTTCCTCTCAGTTTTTGCTCCAAATACACAGACATGGATAATATGTATATGTATCATCTGTATGTTTGTGTATATCATTAAGTGATCCTTGTTTTCTGCATATCTGTTTTTAAACAACAACCGAAGGTTTTCTTGTAAGACATCTTGATCTTTATTATTTTTATGTTTAAATATCAGATTCTTGATTATCTTGGGAAATCTTCGGACACTGACTCTTCCTCACCTGCTGAAT